AATGACTAAAATGCACACAGCAAAATGAAAGGTGGGAACAATTTTTTTTTAAGTATAAGTGGGAGGGATCGAATTTATAAATTCTCACTTTATACTCCGTTCTCCAAACCATCCAATCCATTCCTCCCCTGAGGTAGGGACTAAATTAGTTGCAATATACTATTATACAATCCACACAATTTTTAAACTGAAATCCTATAATATGCATACACACACATAAAAAAAAAAATATAGATATATTAAGAATATCAAATAATCTTGACTTGAGGAAAATTTATGCATGACTTTACAATGCACATAGTACACATAGTTTTTTTTTGTTTTCACACACTCTCTCTCTCTCTCAGTGCAAACTTAGAATTTTAAAACAAAAAGAAGAAGAGATGCAAAGAAGAAAAGAAAAATAGAAAAATAATGAGTTTGTTTGGTTGCCAACTACTTTTTTTTTTATTTTTTTTCAATACATTTTTATTTCACGTATATTATTTTATACAAAAATACTACAATATCATTTTAAATATGGTCAGTCTAACGAGCGCTCCATTCATTAAAATGTAATTCTGACGTGAGATTTTAAAAAAAATAAAATTAATTAGAGTGTAAATATAACGAAAGATAATAATTATTAATATGTGTATACACATAATAAAATATATGAAATATAGAAGCGTTAATAGCTATTCATTAGACACTCACTAAAAGAAATCCATCTAGATAAAATATATTTTCAAATAATCTCCAATCAAACCACACCCATACTTGTAATCTTGTGCACATGCAACGTAAATGCACCAAAAACTTCATCACGTCGGCACGGCCGCAGTGACCGCATAAAATGGTGTACGGTAAGCCCATCGTGTGAAAGATGAAGTGACGGGTGGATTCGTCGGGTTCTTTTGGACGAGCATCAACTTGTCTACAACCGGCCGTACACGTGTGTGCAGCCTCTACATCTGGCGGGACCCGCCTTTCTGCCGTCTTCGCGCGGGCAAACCGTCTAAACCGCGGCGCAGGGTACAATACCACTCTGCATATCAGAAGCGCCTGAAAAACCATGGATTCCACGGGCCACGGTAACATGTAGTTTAATTACGTTTTATGCAGACATATAAAAGTTATTTTTTAATTTTTTTTACTTTACATATATTAAATTTTTATAACTTTTTTTTTTTATCAAAATTACAGAAAATATCAATTCAAACGAGAGATTCTTAACAATTATGGAGTTTAGTGTACTAGTCTCTTAAATCGGTCAAGACCTTAGGCCTCGTTTGAACAGTCTTTTTTATCGAAAAATTACGTCGTTTTCTGTAATTACATTCACATACATCAAATCACTACAGTAATTTTTCTATAAAAAATTCAAGAAAATGTAATCCAAACAAAGCTTAGTTTTCATAACTACAATTTTTGTTTACAGTCGAATGTGTTTGGATAGTAGATTATTTAGAATAATTTTTCTAGAAAATAGCTGATGACAACCAGCAGTTAGCCAACGTAGTTTTTTAGGCTCTGCTTTCTTCATTAATTATTTTTTGTTGTCTATACATGAGTCAACCTCCTAAAAAGACGAATTTCCTAGCAACAAATAAGGACACCATATTGGACGCTGGGGCGTGCTCTTTTATGATGATTTATGACAAGAGCTGTTGACAAATTCCTCGGCCAACCAAATTTCCTCTTGTTTTTTTCATTGACTTTCTGAGTTTTTGTTGAAATTTTCTTCTCATAGAAATTGGAACTTTATACAATTCTAAAATCAACCATTCGTATGACTTTAAAATTGCTCCGTTTTTTACATACACTTCACAACTTGCAAAACTTTAAACCCTACTTCACTACAATTACAGTATTTATAAAAGAAGTTACTTAACATATTCTATTTTTCAAACTTTCATTTGATCACGAATTCTTTTATTTTTTTTTTTTTGAAAATAATTTGTCAACTTTTGAAATTCGAGAGCTAGTGGAGAGAAAAAATTAGAAAAATGTATACTTTTTTTTTTATTTTATAAAAGAGAGAAAAAGGTACTTAAACCCTTTCATCTTTCTTAATCTGCCATCACAATTGGATCAACTATCTGATCAATTTAGGGTTACATGTAAAATGGCCTTAAACATGGATCCTATCAGCCTTAGCAGGTTGAAGATGGATGACAATGGAAATTGACACCCTGACCCCTGACCAATGACAATGGTGTCCAAGAAATAAATGTGCTCATCCTATTAATCTTGTATACGGGCTTCTAGTTTTCCCACAAGGCCTGTATAAACTCTTGTGGATGGGCCTAACTGACCCAAATACACTCGCATTAGACAAAACATTGAATCAATATGTGTTTTGTTTGAATATTATTTTGGAAAAATGTTTTTATTTGTTAACAATTATTTTGATACGTGAAATATGTGAGATAAAATATGTTTGCAAAATAAAGAGTGTCTTTGGTTCAACTCTCAATTTCTACTTTCGCTCTTGTTTCTTGTAAGGCTTGAAACCTTTTCTTAAATAAAAAATAAATAAATAAAAAAGTGTTGACAAAATAAATATTTCTTTGTCCAAATAGTGCATATTCCAAATACACTAAGTTCTATACACATTTCAAAACAATTAGAAGATTTGAACATGATGTATACAATATCCAAATCAAAGTTCTTGCAACCAACAAACATGAAAATCCTAATGATTACAACTTCAAAAATAATAATAGTGATTTTGATTTGTAATTTAAAAGTGAAAATTCAAATTTTGTACTTATGTCAAATTTTGTAAGTAATGATAAAGTTATAAAATAGAAAATATTTTTGAAGAACAAAATGATCAGAATATTTATGTATCGATAGGATTATGGTCTTTATCTTCGTCTACTCTATACGTATTACAAATAAGGAAATCCCATTAAGAAGTTTATTGGGATTGTAAAACAGACAACTATAACTATGAAATGAATCGTAATAGGGTGTAAATGAACCAAGCCCTTAACTAATAATTTGGATTCAATTCAAGTTCGACTTATTGAGATTTTGACTGAAATTACATATCTATTATTTTATTATATACATTATTGATAAAATTAAAAATTAAATAAAATTTTGAGCTCTTGAATCAAACTCGAACTTATCGAATATTAAATCAAATCAAACTGAAGTTTAAATTTTAAGCTCAAATAAAATCGAGATTAGCTCAAAATTTGAATCAACTTGACGACTCAGAAGTTCAATCCAATTTCATTTGTTTACAACCTTGGATCATGCCAAAATATCAATAACAACAAATATATGAGTTGCAAAATCTTAACAAAATGTAAAAGAAAAAACACATGTCAAATCTATTAAAACTCCTAATCTGATTACATTTGGTTTATATGACAAAATTTTCTCTCTCTCAAAAAAAAAAAAAGACAAAAATTCCTCTTGGTGAGATAAAGTGATAAGCAAACCTTTTTAAGGCGGACGTGCAAGCATTGTTCATGGAGGTAATGAACCATGATTATCCATTGCTTTGCTTGTTGCTTATGATGCAGTAGTCACCCAATCTACATAGCGTACGTGCCAAGAACAGTTGTTGGGAGCTTCTTAGTTTGACTGGCAAGTTACAACAACTACCATTCTATGATGGCCGCTTCCATATTCTCCATCTCCGTTCTGTGGAGGCGTGGACCATTCGATGATCACACACGCAACTACGTTTAAAACTTTTGTTGGACAAAATGGATCGGACCCTCTTTTTTCTTGATTCATTGGAATCGTTCTTATTTCGGATAAATTTAAAGTCTTTTTGGACAAAGAATTACATCCAGACAAGACAATGTTGACAACCATCAAGCTTGTAAAAGTAGTTTGAACGAGGGTTAGATTGGACAGTAAAATGGAAGGTTTGTAAAAAAAAAAAAGATTTTGAATTTAAATCATTCCGCTTAAAAATAATTCTAACGGCACATATGTAGTTTTTAGTACTGGCACCTTTACACTTGCTACAATTTACCCAACGTTGTGTAACATATTCTCTGTTGCAAAGTTGCAAAAAAAAAAAAAAAAAAAAAAAAATTTTTTTTTTTGGGCCATCCTTTTGTTCTGGAATCTTTACTTCTTTAGTGCTTAGTATTAATTAGTAACCAACTCATGATGTCTTAAAGAATGGATTGTTGTCTAAACTAGAAGAGTTAGGAAAAGGTTTAAGTATAGCAGGTGCACTTGATTCTTATAGTAGATGAGAGCCAATACCTGGAAGCAAGTGAGGAATTAACTATTAATCTGACTCCAACCTTTCTGTTACTCAGTACTCCACTATAATGCAATCAGACGTGAAATTATAGTGTGGTTTTAATGTTACAAAGTGTACTTCATTAAAAAATAAAGACACGTGAAAAACTATAGTGTGGTTTTACATCTTACATAATCATATTCTCAATATAGATATTCATTAACCCCTCAAAAACCAGCCATTTTATTTTGAGCAAATGACTTTCTCTTGAGAGTAAAAGCGAGCAGGTCTCGCCCTATAAGCACCCTTGCAGTTCCCCGGACGGGTCCCCTAGTCTTAGTTACTGAAAGGAAAGGCACAAGAAACAATTCTATTGAGACAGTACGAGTTTGGACTAATTCCATCCAAAATTGAAGTATTGAACAGATGGATAAATATTTTCCTCAATTCAAATGCACATTTTCTAAGAAAAACCAGTAACTTATCGATGATGGACTCTAATCCTCATTGTATTTCACTTGGCATCCCTTGCTATATATCTTGTCCTAGTTGGTATATTGTCGATATGCCAATTGCCAATTCAAGTCCCACACTTCACTCTCCACACCCACCTTTTTTTTTTTTAAATTGTTTTTGTCCCTATGAACTGCCGGGTCAAATCACCCAAAACAGGAGAAATGATACTATCTCATTTTATCTTAAAGCTCAAGGCACTTCGCCGGACCCCTCCACCAAATTCCCCTCCTTATTTAACGCTTTTTTTCTGCCCCCTCTTCGGCTCAAACATTCCCACAAAATTTTCATCTCAGCGCACAAAAAATGTACTGCATAGATGTGTGAAACTAGAGCCTCCAACTGATTCGCCGAGGAAATGAAAACGCACCCAAAACATAGGATTCTTTCCTATGTTTTCTTTGCCAACTCAGCCATGCAGTAATCAAACTCAAATTGGTTCTCATGGTTCTCGCTCTCCCACTTCTCTTACAAAATGCAGCCGCCCAAAACGAAACTCTACCATCATCATCTTTTCCTCTGCCGCTGCCGCCGCCACCGCCGTCAAAGTCAGAAAGCTTTTCATTTGACACAAAACTTAGAGTAAACCCCTCGATGGCAATCATTTTTGTCTGCCTTATAAGTGCTTTCTTCATAATGGGGTGCGTCTCCGTGTCCATCCGCCATTGTTCCGAGCATAGCCTCGACGCCATAACCGAAGATTACAACCTTGGCTCACGCCGTCGCTTACGTCGGGCAGCGGCTCGTGGGCTCGACTCTTCAGTTATAGACACCTTCCCCATGTTCTTATATTCCGATGTTAAAGGGCTCAAGCTGGGCAACGGTGCGCTAGAATGCGCTGTTTGTTTAAACGAGTTTGAGGACGATGAAACGCTCCGTTTGCTTCCCAAATGCTCTCACGTCTTCCATCCAGACTGTATCGGAGCTTGGCTGGCATCCCACTTCACCTGCCCCGTTTGCCGGGCCAACCTTGTTGTGGATCCGGTCGAACTGGATGATGATGACCGTGGTTCAGACACTCATGAACCGGTTGTCAATCTGTCATCCAACTCCATATCGACCCAAGGTTTCAATAACTCGACTTCTCAAACCGGTAATGTGGCTATTGATATCCATATTGGTTCACCCGAGGTGATAAACTTGTCTGAACCAACCATTCATACTCACACGAAAAAATTGCGAGTTAATGAAAAATTTCCTCGATCACACTCAACTGGTCACTCAGTGATTCAACCAGGTGAAGATTGTGAGAGATTTACACTAAGATTACCGGAGGACATAAAAAACCGTTTAATTAACTCAGAGTTAAGCAGGGCGAAGAGTTGTGTGGCTTTTACTCGAATTAGAAGCTCCACAAAGGGGTATAGAAGGAGTGAAAGTGGTGGTGGTGGAACACGGAATAATTCAATAGATTATGAACGGTTGGATCAAGTTGGCCGATTTGATAGGTGGGGTTTTACAATTAACCCGCCTTTCTTCTCTCGTACTGGTTCGACCAACGATGTAGTTAACCATAGTGGGGAAGAGTCAGCAGGAAACCCCAAGAGCTTGTTTAGGTCCGGTAAGAATTTTAAAACATCATTTGAACGTTTGTTTAGCAGTGCTCAGAAAGAGGTTGATGGGGAAAGATCGTTCAATAGGTTAAGACCAGATAATAGTCCGGTTTAAAGTTGTGAACTAATCAAATTTCTGTACTATAGATTAAGTATTGGACTCAATTTATCTTCTTTTTTACAACCAATTTTGTTTTTAATTACTTGTAAATAGTCATCCTTAAATATTTTTTTTTGGGTTGGTATCATCCTTAAATATTTACCTTCAAAAAGTTAATATAGCAGTTCAGCAACAATCATGTTTGTCAAAACCCATATTGGATGAAATGGAAAATTTGTGTGATCGTCCACCTCTTCTCGGTTGGGTCGTAAGTAGAGCTGGCAATTTGTCCCAAGTCCCAATGGGCTACCCATGCCCAAAGGAACTTTGGGCGGGATGGGTATTATAATTTGGTATTGGGTTTAAGTTGGGACACATCCCAACTATACCCATTAATGAATGGGAAAGGATGGGAAATACTTGGGTACCCATTGGGCTCAAATGGCAAGGGCTCCGTTTGGATTAGCTGTTTTTGGTAGGTGTTTTTGAAATATTTTATTGTAGCAGTGTATATGAAAAATTTTTACTATAAATTTTTTTGAAATATTTGATATATTAATATGGATGGGATGTTTCTTGAGTTATTGTATATTACTGTAACATTGTATTTGAAAAACTTATTTTTTGAAAAAAAAGTCAATCCAAACGGAATCTTAGATTCAAAAATTATCTTTAACAATTTTTATAGTTATACCATCGAATATAATCTAGTAGTCTTCCTAGTCATTATCCACAAGAATTTCCAGCATTTCAGTTAGTTTAGACCTGTCATCCTTGGATAATGATAAGGATAAATATTCAACATCCTAAGGACCTTGGCCATCTTGATATATGTTGGAATATGGCTGTATATCTATCTTTTCCTTTATTTGTTAATCCAATTTTTGGTGGGAATCTTGAGTATAAAGCACTTGCATGTTTATTTAATAAAACTAAAAGAAATTTAATAAATCAAAAATATAAAATTATATAAAAATAAAAAATGAATTAAAGGAAAAAAAATATGTAGAAAATGGATTTGGGTATTGGGCGGGATCAATCTAAACCCATCCCAAAATGATCCCGCCCAAGTTAGTCCCAAAACACATATGGGTAAGATTGGGCCCAAACCCATATGACTCGGTTCCATTTCAAACCCAAGCAAATCCCGCCCATCCCGCCCATTTTGCCACCTCTAGTCGTAAGTAATGAGAAGCCTTGTATGTTCTGTAACTAAATGATGATGTTAGACAAGACTAAAATTCGAAGGAAAGCGAAATTAAAGCATTTCTTCCCTTGTTTTGTTTGCTTCAATTTGAAGTCAATCTCAAGGATATTTAACCGTGTGCTCCAATAAACTGCATTAGTGGAGTCTCCTTTAATACACTTTTTGTTCATAGTAGGGGACTATATATAGTACCTTTTCAATTACAGTTTTCAAAATAAAAATTTCGAATGAAGCATTTATGTCGTTATGAATATCCATAACTGCCTATAAACCTTCTCAAAAGATCTGCCTTGAACAAAGTTATAACGAACAACATATGAATCTTCAAGTATAACTTCATTGCTCCTTGTTATGTCAACAAATGAGTAATTGAGACCCAATTGACGGCTATTATTTATTTAGTTAATTTCATATGGTTTGTACTGAGTAGTACCACCACCACAGCACAAGGATCACAAATAGGATTCAAAGGTTCTATTTCTGTAATCTTTTGTCAAGTTTTATTCAAGCAAATATCTTAAAAGCAGAATTTGGAAAATCTAAGAACAAAGGCTGGATTTCCGACAACGCATGCGGGATATTTCTTTTCATCACCACAACGACAAGTTCACTGTCGGTCTTTGTAGCTGTGTGCATTAATTTGTATATCCTAATTCACGAATGATATTGACATTTTTCTTTTGATTTAGGAGATGTTAGAAAAGACTTTTGTCCAAATAACCACATTTGGTTGCTGAAGGTTGCATGTCAATTTTTTTTTTTTTTCAAAACGATAACATTATATATATATGTGTGTATATATATATACACACACTATTACAAGTATTAGTTACAAAAGGGGCCACTATCCTCATATCATTCTGGTCTTTGTTTTTTTGGATAAATAATAGGATTCGAACATAGATTTGTTATTTATGATCCCTTCCATCTTACCATCCAATCCAATCTTCGCTCCATAAATCTAACAGCGATATTGGGAAATTAGAGTTCCATCTAATTTCATTAACTAGCTCCATAGCAAATTTTGCTAGCCTCTGCCAAGCCATACTCCCTTCCCTATGGAAACAACAAATAAATCTTGGTTAGTGCTATCGGAATCAACAAATCCAGCCGAGCTTGCTATCATATGAAGACGAATTAATGTTGGGCTTCTTGTATTGGTAAAGCCTAGTTCCAAATGTTACCCTAATCTTTCAACATTAGCCCAATTTAGTTGTCCAACCCAACAATATTAGTTAATCTAATTTAATTAATGTTAGTTAGGACCCTTTTTAAAAAAAAAAAAATATATTACAAAGAATCCATAAATGACGAGAGTAATATAATCAACAATATAACCCACAAATAATGAAAATTGCAACTCAATATTCAATAAATGAAGTACCAAATAGTGGATACAAAAACTTGTATATGGTGACATCTCAACCTTAAAATTTCTCTCAACCTTAAAATTTCTAACTCCTAGGACTTCAACCTAAATAATACATTCAAGTCCAAAACCACGAGATGCAACGCAATAACAAAACCAAAGTTACTGTTAAGGATACGAGCAAGATAACCATAGTATCTCCATTTGAAGTCTAAATATATCTCCTTCGTTCTTTTCTCATATAAAGCTTGCCATCTCCCCTGAATTTGAAAAAAAAAAAAAAGGTAAAAGACAATAATAAGCCTTAATTAGAGGACATAGATTGAATATACGTTTTCTTATTGCGACAGAACTGAAGGAGAATGTAGAAGAAACGCTTAGCACAGATTTCTTCAGAAATATCAGAAGGCCCCATCAGAGTTTCCAATTTTTAGTGTTGATTTGATATCGTACGTACGTAAGAATTGTTCGAAGAGCCTGGGTTTAAGCCCTATTACAAATTAAAGGTATACCAGATAATGCTAATAATGGGGTGATGATGAAGACGACGACTGATCCAATCAGAATTTGCACATCAGAGCTTAACCATCGCTTTGCTTTCGATATGGGATACTTCTCAAAGAAACAAAACTTTTAGTGTTTTACGCGGTTTGCATGAACAAGTGTCCATGATTTGAAAGCTTGACCTAATTTGCCGTCCAACAAGTGTTGAGGGAAGAAGCAGTGTTTATCATAAACAGACTACTTAGCCAAGTCAAAATATGTTACGCCATTAATTTTTTGTGAATGAAACGGCGTCGGTAGCATTTGGACAGGGAACTTTGGATAGACGTTTTAGACACAGGATCTCAAGCCTGTTTTCTGTCGGCTTAAGGTTTCACCAATAATTATGTCGTGACAGTGACAGAAAATTTTAAATGATGACCTGACCTAGTATATATCTAGTAATTCCTTAAGGATGCTTCTTCCCAATAGTTTCTTTTCCGCGGAGTATACATACAAGTCTTTGCATTATTCACCAATATAAAATTTTTATTATCAACTTGTGGGGTTTTTCCAGGAAATTAAGAGACTACGACTTTGCTTTTTGATAAGCTAAAATTGTTATTTCGTTGTATCTGTTGGCTAAAAATTTTTCCCTATATTTAAATTTACGGAAAATTTCACAAACCCCCCAGAGATTTTTAACAATTACAGAGAGCTCCCTTCAAATTTTAAAAATTACATATATCTCCTCTACTTTTACTGTTTAGCAACAACATAGGTCCAATGAAATAGATTTTTTTTTAACAAAAAAATCCTAAATTACCTTTTTATACAAAACTAAGAAAGAAAAATATTGTATACTCAATAATTTTCTTCCGCACTTTGTATAAATCAACAAATCTAATCCTTATAAACCATTCAAGCATAAGTTCTAAAATCAAATAGCCATCCAAAAAATTTCAAATTGTATATATAGTATCAATACTCTCCAAGCAAAAAACAAAAAAATAAAAGACACACACACACACAAACCTTATTGACAACCAATTGTACCCCAAAATTAAATATCAATGCTAAAATACCTTTTCAATACAAACTAATTTGATCTAGAACCGCCATTATAACCCTTCTACAACCTTAAAAATATTGATATCTCAAAAATAGAGAATAAATTTTACCTCCATAATAAAATCATAATAAAAAATTTCTAATCCAATAAAAGAAACCCTTATGTAATTATTGACATTTTATAAAAAATTTTCTTGCAACAAAAAAAAAGACAAATTCCACACCTTTAGTTCTTCTTTTTATTTCAATTATCAATTTCATTATTTATTTCTCTATCACTGTGAGTCTCTTTATTTCCTTCTAATTTAAGATATAATCTACTCTCTCTATTGATTTTATAATTTCAATTTGCTAATATCCACAAAAATTGGAGATAATAAAAGAGATTATATTAATTAGAAAAGAGAGCAAAAATAGACAAGAGATAGAAAATAGATTTTTTATGGGTTTTGTAAATTTATTGCCTTAAATTTAAAATTGTTTGCCAAGTGGAGGGCATTATAGATATTTTAATATGTCAAGGGAGGTAAGTGTAATTTTTTAAATTTGAGGGGAGCCGAGTGAAATTGTTAAAAATCTCAAGGGAGGTTTGTGTAATTATCCCTTAAATTTATGGTAAAAATAATGCTTGACCAAGTTATTGATTAGAAGGGAAATAGTCGAATATATATATATATATTCTCTATTCTTTTGTTTTAGTCACTGCCCATCAGGAAACATCGTGGAAATGCAACCGAAGGAAATAGGAATCTCGAGCCATTCCCCCATATAAATTTAAGACAAGTTGAAAAAAATGAAATCCATCTTATCATTCTTTGTAAGCAGAAAAGTTCCATACAGAGACTTCATCAAAGGTCACTCGCTAAAATTATTAGCAAATCTCTGTCCCTCTCGCCAAAAATGGCTCGGCCAAGAAAGCTGCGAGAATTCATAGGCCGCCTCAAAGACAACGCTTCACTAATCAAAGCAAACTTAACCACAAAACGCACCGTTTCTTCGATAAAAATCTCCATCCTCCGCGCCACCAGCCACAGCTCCACCGCCGCCCCACCGGAGCACCAACTAGACGCCATCCTCAGCCTCGGCCACGATGTTAATCTTCCCCTTGCATGCGCATGCGTTGAAGCTGTCCTAGACCGTCTTCACAACACTCGGAGCCCTTACGTGGCACTGAAATGCCTCTTCATCCTGCACAACATCATTACCCACGGTTCCTTCATCCTCAAGGAACAGCTCTCTCTCTACCCTTTGACCGGCGGTCAAAATTCTCTCAAGCTTACGAGGTTTAGTAACAAAAGCAACCTTGAAAATTGGGAATTGTCCCAATGGGTCCGGTGGTACGCTAGTGTTTTGGAACGTAACTTGATCACTGCCAGGATTTTAGGTTGCTACCTCTGTTGCACCTCCTCATCTTCAAAGTTTCAAGAAAATGGAAATAACAAGATTGCTATTCGACCACCAGACTGCGATTTACTGAAAGAAATTGATTCTCTTGTGTGCATGGTTGAAGGGATTTGTGCTGCACCTGAGTCGTTACATTACCAAAGATTGGATTTGGTGCACGAATTCATGTTATTGGTGAGCGAGGACTATCGTTTTACTCAGCATCAAATTATCACGAGACTCAATGAGTTAGGTGACCGGACGGCGAGGATGAGCTACGATGACTTGGCCGAGTTGATATGCTGTTTGAAGAGGCTGGAGGACTGCAGGATGAGGCTAGTGGAAATGTTTGCAAACAGGAAAAGAAACGATGAATTTTGGGATTTGGTCAGACAAACCAGAGTGGGACTGGAGGAGCTGAATGAGAAGCGAGATAGAGGAAGAATGGTGGTGTGGAAGGGATGGAAAGATGAAACAACTGAGCTAACTCGGTTTGTTGATCAGCGAGTTATGGGAACGAGTGAGGTAATCAAGCTCTCGCCCTGTAGAAGTCAATGGTTAACTGTTTCGGCCGCCGTAGCGTGAACGAATATAATAAGTAATAACGGGGCAACAATTCTTGAAGTTGATTGGCTTGGGCTTTTAATTTTATTGTGGCTGCGGAAGATTTTACGTAATCGTATGAGAACTTTCATAAGTTCTTGCATCTGCCATTTGTCTGAATTTTCGCCTTAATGCAATCCATAAACCTATCACGTAGATGAATTGGTTTGTTTTATGGCCATTTTGCAAACTCTTTGCCACAAGTCATTTTTCGTCTACACTAAATCACTAAATTTCCAATACTTTGAAAGCAATTTTCCATGGGAGTTCAGTTTTTTTTTTTTAAAAAAAAAAAATTTAGTTGTGGATTTTAAAAACTCCAACTAGTAAATTATGAGCTTTAATTGAAATGTACCAGAAGATTTCAATTCAATTAAACAGGTAGGTGATTCCAAAACATGGACCGGTATTGCTAAATTTAGCTCCGATTCCTCTAGATCGGAGGGCATTGCAAACTTGAAAGTCATGAGAGGTATTTATGATGACGGTCAAGAAATACCACCAGTTTAATCATTTCGTTTTAATAGAAACGAGAGGAAAAAATGATTAAAAAAAAGAAAAAGGAAAAAAAAAGTCAACTGTTTAACCATTCATTGTTTAGTCCCGGCGAAATTTACAAGTCATTTTATAGTACTACTAAAATCTAAAATGGCAGCCTGCAGAATTTTACGAAAAGTTAGAGACAGCAGACACTTCATTCCTTGTTATTGTTTTTGAGGCGGCAGCCAAGTGGAGAATAGATGCACTGCGTGTTTCTTTGAATTAGTCTGTTGGACTTCCTTATATTGTCCCAATTGGTACCTAATCCATTACCGACTTATCGTTTTCCTCAGAAGTCTTCTTGAAATCACATGGCATTTTTGGATGCTTGTTGGGGGTGTTACAAGACTGGATTGGAGCTACTGCTTGGCTCATCTACAATTATAAAAGACCCCAAGTGGTGCAAATGCTTCATATTGTGAAAGACCTCAATTATTGTTAAGTTAATGAGGTGCTTTAGTCCCTAAGGTATGAGAGCGCCTTAGTCTTTGAAATCTGTCAAAAAAAAAATTTTAATTCACATTGTAGTCTCTAAAGTATAAAATTTAATTATCCTATATAAGTATAAAATCTGTCTTACTTCTGTCAATGATTTACTTAAGTGAGACATATTTTATGTTTTAGGAATTTAAGTGTCTCATTTAAAATTTTTGAAACCAAAGTGAAAATTTATGTACAGTTGAATGGTGCAAAGTAGAATTGATCCGTATTTATTTAACAATCACTAGTGTTAAAAGTTAACGTCTCTTTCAATATATTTGCATGCAATACTGGCTGTATGAAATATCGTGGTTACTTGACATATAAGCAAATATTTACCATTTAATCAAGTATAAAGGCCATTATTTGGGAGGGAAAGTTGGATTGGATGATAAGATGTGATGGATTGTAAATAGGAGATTCTGAATTCATAATCTCCCACTTATCAAAAAAAAAAAAAAAAAAGGAAAGAAAAGCAAAAAAAGCCATTATTTGCTTTTCTCAACTGTCGGAAAAAAAATATATCATTTTCCTAACACAAGAAGTTCTAATTATTTGCTTTTAACCAAAAAATAAACGATAAAATATTCACTTATCACTTAATGCAAAATATGCTCAAAAGTAAGATTTCAATACTAAACAATTTAGTAATCTAACATATTCAAATTTTAGAATTGAAATTTCATATTTTAATTTTATCAAATACACCTTTAGTGTTTTAGCCCTAGCACATCTCCTGTTTAAACCCGAATGAGTCTCGATATACATGAATAAAAGCTACTTTGCAGTATCCTTAATTTTCTTAGTCTTTATATGCCATGCAATAACTAAGAAAAAGGAAATGCAACGCAATTCCTTTTGACTTACGTCAGGCCTTAACATCATGGTCGAACTGAAAACTAGGGAATAGGGATATCAAGGTTGCCTAATTAACATCTCTGTAGGCTTCTGTTAGAGTAAAAACCTTGATTTCCTTCAACCAAAAAAAAAAAAAAAAAAAAAAACCTTGATTTGTTTTATGCATTAAAAGCCAACTCTTCTGCTGAAGTGCTGATTGCAAAGTATACGTATAACATAGTCAGAGAAAGTCAACATGTATACATACCTGAACACCCATCCAAAAACCAAGCCCAAGGGAGCACTAAGGGGAAGCCCAACAAGATAGCAGCAGCATAGATTAATGTATGCAACACTTGTTTGCCATCCGGATCCAACAACTACCCCTGTAGATGTATTAACACTCAATTAGCGAACTTACTGTCCACTAAAACTTTAATTTACCTTAGTTTTGAAAAAAAAAAAGGAGAACAAAATTGAGCGAGTCAATTTACATGCATGTCACTTCTAGATAAAAAAGATTTAGGCCTTGTTCCTGATTGCTTTAGACTTTATAAAATCTAATTATATAAACTGATTATAGAGAATAATTAAAATCAGCGAAAACTACAGTTTGGGTGATTATAGATTATCGATTTTTTGTCATTCAAAAAAATAATGTTCAAATAAGTCAATATGTATATTTATTCTTCTCACAATCTGTTTAATTCTCTAAATTAAACCACAACTAAGAAATCAAATACAAGCCCCAAGAATGAGAGATCCTTTGTTCAAGAATTGGCCCTAGGCTTTCAATTGGTGTCTACTTAACTTTTTAAACGGCCTGTTTAACGGTGACTATTAAAATGTATTTCAAGTGTTAGATTTTTAGAAATATAAGATTAATTAGGGAAAACATATAAATGCAAAGAGATTAATCAGAAAAAGTGTATAAATGCAAGAGAAAGTAGTATTTATTAGTGTGTGCATATATATATGGTAGGTTGGGGTGAAATGTAAGTGTATCAACAAATAACCATAGGGTACCAGTTAAAAAAACCCTTTCTTAAATTGTTTTTGAGATATTATCCATCGTTAAATCTATCCCAGCTATCAAATAATCTTGGGATAATTTCATAAACCTCCCCTGAGGTATCTGACAATTTCACTAAGATCCCTTGACCTTTTAAAAATTACACTTCTCTCCCATGATTTGACTCTTTTTGTAACCAAACTTTGGACTTAGTAAAAAATTTAATTGAATACCCCAAAATACCCTCACCTTATAAAATTCATTACTTTCTAAAGCAATAATAATATATTTAGTCTATGTATGAGAATGGATTGTCAAGTTTTCAATACCAAATTTATTGTTTCATAAGCAATAATGACAATAATTCTATACTATGATAAAATATTTTTCAATATCAAATTTATTCTTTCTAAATTAGAGAAGAGAGTGTCATCATAATGCTTTTAGAGTTGGTTGCTTTTAGATCCGTGAAACTATCATAATGCTTTTCAATAGTAGTTTTGGACCTTTATTTTTGAGTTAGTATTGCTTCTAATACACAAAAAAAAGAAAAAAAGGATTGACAAATAAAAGTTGGATCATATTAAATTTCAAAAAAAAAAAGTCACTAGTTTGACATTTAATGTTGGTGTTTATATTTCCATAGTTTTACTAGTAAAAAATATAAAAAATGAGGAACAAGAAGAGAAAATGAAAAGAAACAATAATTATAAATCCCATTCCATTTATATACATACCAAACAAAGTTTTATTTAAATGTTAAGGCTAGTATTGTCATTTTAGATGGATAAGGGAGGTAAGTGTAATTTTTAAAATTTTAGGGGAGCTCAGCGAAATTATCAAAAAATTCAGGGGGGTTTCTGAAATTATCCCATAAATAATATATGAGGTGAATTAGCTTGGTATGCGGGTAATATTTGCATGGGTTAATAAAACTTTGCCCTCCTGAATTATAGGATTAATCTCACTTTGCCCACCTGAACTAAAAGAATAAACATTTTGCCCCCGCATGGCAAGTTAAACATTATGTTTGAGTACAGTGTCCAAAAAAAAGGTTGATGTAACGAGTAGACTACCCTTTTCTAGCAACGAATGGGCCAAAGAACCCTTGAGTTCTTTAATGAAAAGTTTTAGAGTTAATCACAATTAGGACATGAAGAGAACAGGGGGGGAGGAAATCTTCATCTGCACTAGTGTTGTAAATGCATTAATCGGATAGTATTTACTTTGCTTAATTTTGTGTCTGATAAATGGATAATTATTCCAATTGGAAACTTGTCTCAGTTGCTCCTAACCAGCTCTTGTTACTTGGAGACAGATGTTGATAATCACTAATAAATGTGTGCTGGTGATTGTTAAAAGGAACCGGAGATAGGTTCTTATGTTAAACTTCTCTAATTCCTTGCATTTATAGATCACCAGCTTTAATGTAATAAGCTTACTTAAATCTAACGGATGTCATTTCAAATCATGACAAATGTATAAAGGGACCGATTAAACGAGACATTGATAATGATCAGGGAATAATCAGGAAAAAAAAATGCACTGCTAAACATATTTTTGACATTATTGACAAAATTTATTCGCAGTCCACTAGATAAATTTTTGACGAATTCTCTAATGGTATGAGATATTCTTGACAACTGAAAAGCTTCAATCAAAAAAACCAGGCAACTCCACCGTGCCACAAATTCAGTCTGCAAGTCATGATAACAAATCAGGAATTGGACATGACAATTTTTGGATATTCCTGGAAGCATTTTCAGCCTGCAAAAACCCAGAAAAATCTTTAGAGTAAGATTAATCCACAACAATAGAGAGCTTTTAGTTGAGATTAATGGGTATTTAAGTCTAACTATTACTTACCTCTTTTTCCCAGTCGCGATGGATGGTTATTATGGCTAGTATCCCTGTCTGCACAGCAGTTCCACCAACGATCATTCCGCCCCAGATACCCTGGATGAGTGGATGGATTTCAAAGGCTTAAACTTTAAACCAACATTATTCACAATCTTTAGCCTTCTTTTATTTTGTAATTTCTAGTGGTTAGGACGATATTAAAGGCAAAAATTGCCAACATTTATATGCCTAAGACTCAAAATTTTGGACCATGTATCAATTGGTGCCACGATCTGATGATAGTAAACGTACATGGGATGGTAGCTTTGTCCTAGTAATAGGAATTTTAGGATGCTCTATGTACAGATGAGGGATTAATTCCTCCACTACAACCTAATAAAAGTGATGTTCCTATGAAGATTATAGGAAGAATTGTAGTTTTAATGCCTAATGTATTACCCATGCACGGAACTGGTCCTCAATCTATTTCAAAAAGTACATTTGGTTCCTAATCTATCCAATTTTGCGTAAAATTGGACAATTGACAGATTTCTTCCAATAAGAGTATTTTAGGAAAATTAAAATACAACTACATTCTTCAATTAGAAAGTGGACTACAATTTGGGACAAACGAAAAAGGAAAACAAAACTATCAAAGTGGGACGGAGGGAGTATAATTTTGGAGGAAAAGAAAAAATCTAAATTTGAAGAGGTTTCTTTCGTCATAAATGTGTGTATGTGCGTGTATTATAATAAATGAAAGAGAGCGTGTCTCTAGTTCCTGACACTGGTTCAATAATGTTTATTTAAAATAATAATTTAAAATTGTGTTAGTACTTGAAGCTTTGTTCCTGGAATAAATTCTTTAAATGAAATAACTCGTACATTACAAAAAATTATCTGAACATAGAATGGCGTGAGATCCCTAAAACAAAGCCCCCTCATAGTTTGGTTTTGTAAAAGAGGAAGAAAAGAAAAGGCAGGCAATCAAGAAAAAGAAACAAAGAAACAATAATAATGTCTCTAATTGTGGGGATGCTTTTGTCTCAAATGCTCTGTGAGTAGTGGCGGAGCCACATTGTGATGAGGGTGTGTACTTGCACCCCCTTAACTTTGCAAAATTTCAAGAATAGTCTTGACACTTTTATAAATTTTTATGTTTCTATTATAATTGCGCCCCCTCAATTTTAAAAAATACCCTTTTTTTTCCTTTATATTGCCCTCTTATATTATAAGAAATTCTCATTCCTCTTGCATTAGCTCTCTAAACAATCAATTTCTTTTAGATATCTCTTCTACAGCACAAATGTTTTGAAACTATTAAAACACAAATTTGGTTTCTATTTGGATAAAGAATAGCTTTGATACTTTCAAAACACAAAAACTCAATAATAAAAATCTTATTTTTATTTGATATTTTCTTGCATAATAAGAACATTATTTTAGGTGTATAATGCTACCTCTACTGGCTATAGTTCTTGGCTCCGCTACTATTTATGAGAAGGGGTAGATGAGGTGAAGAGATAGAAAAGTTCCACATTAATTGAAGCATTGGATTTTGTACAAGCGTATGCCTTGTTCTTCCCTGCATTTTAATCCACATCCTAGTTCTTGGCATGACTTGCTACTACAACATCCAAGTATTTTTTACCCTTCGTGTATCTGTAATCAGATCAAATTCATACGTATAGTGCTATTGACAACTTACTATGCATTACTTGAATTTTCGAGAGTGGCAATGCCAATATCACTTTCGA